CTCTTACTCTCTGCTGGCTCACCCCACTTCCCCCTGCCCCTCGCTCCCTCTTCCTCTCCTCCCTCTCTGTCTCTCCCTCAGGGGGCTCCAGGAGATGCCGGGATGTCCATCATCGGTCCTCGCGGCCCCCCTGTAAGTGGCTTTACTCTTCTTCAGGGTGCGGGATGGGTGAATTAATGACGGGGTATGAGGGTGGAGGGAGAGCAAGTCCTGGCTGGGCCTCTGGGCAGGGCGGCTACCACATGTGATGTGGTCAGCCCAGCCTGGCCTCAGTGCCTCTGTTGATGTTAAAGCAAGTGGTCTGACTAAATATACCTAAATTACAGCCCCTTGGGAGGGTTCACAAGGGCCTGCCCTCTAGCCACAGACTAGAGCAGCTGGGAGGTGGCCCTGTTGTTTACAGGCTGAGGGGAGAAAGTACTCACTCATCTCTGGAGGGGATGCTCCGGCTTTCCAGGGGACAAGCCCTGTTTTCAGAAGCCCACGGAGCAGAAACCCAGAGTCCAGATGCCCTGACCCAACCACCCACTCCTGGTCTTGGCAGAGACCCAACCCACTGCTTGTCTTCAAAGGCTCCTTTTTGTGCACAGTGCTGGGTTCTGTGTCTTAGTTCACTCTGCCCAGTGGCCAGGGCTTGGGAAAATCAGAGAGGCTCCCTTCAGATATGCTTCCTTAGGAACCAGAAGGGAGACATGGGTGACAATGCAGGAAGATAGTGTGCCTACAGGAAGGAGGGCTACATGATTCCTCAGAATGCCTGGACCATGGCATTTCCCTAAAATCACCAAATGTCAGGATGGAAAGGACCTCAGTAATGGTCTAGCACAGCCCTCTCAGAAGGGGAAACTTCCCAGAGAGGGGAAGGGGCTTGGCCAGGGTCCCACACACAGAGGCTAGAGCAGTTCAGATGCCAGGACCCAGGCAGCCAGGGCTTCCAGCAGAGTAACAAGTGCACGTGGCTGCCTCCATGTTCTGCTGTGCGCTTTTCCTGCCCTGCCCTGCATGGTGATGGCGCAAAGGCGGCAGCAGGCTGGCCTCAGGAAGTGTGAGGCTGGCCCGGTGGACAGATGAAGCCCAGCCTGTCCATTTCCCTGCCTTCAACAGGAAAGCCAGCAGAGTGGGGGGCTCTCCTGCCTCAAGTCTAGGGAGGGGGTCACAGAGCAAACTGCTACATCCAAGGGAGGGGCTGTGGTGAGAGGTGGGAGCTGAGGTAGAGCCAGTCAGGGCTACTTGCAGACAGTTGGGGTTGGGGGTGGGGGTGATCAGAGAGGAGACCAAAGGAGGATCTGGGGAGCAATGCTGGCAGGCAGCTCCAGGCCTGGGCTGGAGGCAGGGTTTGAAGGGTCCGGGGCTGCATAGACACAGCCTTCTCAGCAGGGATTCCTCTGATTCAGATCGCTGCAGCAGGCAGTATCCCAAAACCTGTACACAGAGTAATTCACTTAACCTGCAAAAGAACCCCACAAGTCGGTCCTGTTAGCATCTCCATGTTTAGATAACAAAAGCTGGGCAAAGGGAGTTTGGGCAGCCAAGGTCACACCCTAAGATGTGGGCATGCTGGGACTTCATCACTCAGCCCAGACCACAGCTCAGGGCCTGCACTCCGGGCCCCCTCTGCTGCAGCAGGTCACCAGGCTACAGAGCCACCATCACCTGTGCTTCTGGGCTCACATGGCCACTGCCCATGGGCTGTAAGCCTTGTGTACCGGGGAAGCTGCAGTGTGGATGCCCTGAGCCCAGTTGCTCCTGACAAAGGTGCTGCCCAGCCAGGGGCCACTAGGAGACGGGAAGGTCAAAGAAAAAGACAGTCTCCCAGGTTCTGATGGACAAAGACCAACTGAGCCTAGGGTGGACTTGCCAGGAAGACAAGGGAATCACACAGAACACAGGCCCTACCCCTTGGCCAGTCTCTGTCCCCACTCTGGTCTGACCACCCACTGTGTGGATCATGCTGGTCATCTAACACTCTTTCAGCAACACAATGTCAACAGGCTACCTAGAAGTTGTTAAGAAGGCCCCACTTTGGGAGAACATGCTAGGGTCAGTGGTCTGCCTCAGCTACCCCTGGCTTCCAGCCCAGCATGCAGATGCCTAATCAGGAACTTACCCACTGCATTAGATTCTATCCCAGGGGTGAGAAGGACCTTCTCCTGGGCACCTGTCACATCCTAGGTCCTATACTGAAACCCTGTGTATACTCGGGCCTCCTTCAGTCCTCCCAGCAAAACTGTGCGGCGATCCCTGCCAGCCCACTTCACAGAGAGGCAAACCGAGTTTCATAACTGGCCTGTGGCTACCCAGCTAGTCAGTGCTGGACTTGAGTCTGGTTGGGCCAGGTCGGCCTCCTTCCAAAGCCAGCGTTCCAGCCCCAACACCCCTTCCATGTTTCAAGCTTTACTGTTTAAAAAGGATACTTATCTTGAGAAGAAAAAATTATCCCTGTGGGTGCCAGGTTGGAGCTAGGAGAGTTTTTATGGCACCAAAAGGTTTGACCAAGCCTGGTGTCCTATGACTGCCCTCCAGATGACTGGGCCACCCCCGCTGAGCCCTCACTAGACACCAGGGCAATGACCTCAGTTCCTCCTGGGAAGCCACCTGGAGCAGGTGAGAACAGGGATGGGGGAAGACAAAGGGGCCATTTGTGATTAAGGCATAATGGTCAAGTGGGCAGGCGTTCTGTGGCTGGAGGGGATGGGGGATGTGTGGTTTTCCTCTCAGCCAGAAAGAGCCCAGAATACATGCTAGTAAGAACCAGCTTTGCCAGTTTCTGGGGCCACCTGCCTCCTCTCTTGGAGCTTCATAAATAGACCAGGCAAGGGCACTTTGGGGAAGGATGATTCACATTCCAGTGAAGCACAATGCTGGACAGCGGCTCCACTAAACTGAGTGGGAAGCTGGGACCTTGAGAGGCTGGGCAAGTCATCTGCCAAGCTAGGAAATGCCCCCCATCTCAGAGGGAGCTCATGCCCTCCCTGAGTCTCCCAGCTTCTCTGTAGGGGCCATAAGAGCTATCTGAACCTCCAGCCCTCATTCACAAGGAGACACCCCATGCCAGATTGATACAACTGCTAAGTGTTTCCTCATTTATTCATTCCATTAATATTTTTTAGGTTCCTACTGCAGGCAAGGCACTGGGTAGATAGTGAAACCCTGAACACAGCCTGCTTGTCCCTTTGCAGGACAAGCATAAGACCACGCCATAGGAAAAGACTGATAACTTTGTCAACATAATGTAAAACTTCTGTATGGCAGAAAATGTACCATGAAAAAACAGGTGCTACATTGGAAAGAATATTTGCAACACATATGACTCTCGAAGACTTACTGTTCTTGACAAAGAGCTTTACTCAAATCAATAGGAAAAGGACAAACAACCTACTAGAAATTATCAGAAAGGAATGCAAACAGGCAGTTTACAAGTACACTGGACTGGCTGATAAACATTGGAAGAGATGGCCCATGTTAGCCTAGAATTGACAAGATGTAAATTCCTGTGCCCAGCCTTTCTGAGGGCCTTATCCAGGCCCAGCCTCTCCGGGAAGTAGAGTCTCAGTTTCCATTTGGTCAATGACAACATTCTTCTCAAGGTCCCTGAAGAAGCTTTGGTTAGCCCTGGATTTGGCCCTGAGTTGGAGAGATGCATCCTGCTACCAGGGCAAGCTCTGTAATTAGCAAGCCATGTGATTATCCCTACCATGTAAACATTATCCGGAGTAGGACAAGAGGATGTTTCTTGGAATCCTCTTCTCCTGACCTTTCCTTCAGGCCTCTCAGCATTCAGAATACTTGAAGGTTTACACTGGGAGGTTTCAGAGGTTACACTGCAAAGTTTCCGGTTTTCTCCTTAGTGCTATTCTTAGCATCACTTACCCTTGAGAGAAGAGAAGCCTGGGGCCCTTCTGATATATGAGTGGCATCTCCTCCCCCTTGCCCTTCTGGCTGCCTGCCACAAGCCCATTCTGAGCCTGCAGCATACTCTAGCTTGCTCCCTGCCTCACCAGTGCACCAACCCTGCCAGCAAGGCCCCCTTCCTCCCAGCCAGGACCCCTGAGCGGAGGTCTCTGGGCGCTCGTGTCCACAGCTTCAAGAAGGACCCAAGCAGCCTGCAGATGTTCCCATTCATGGCAGAGGGATCCAGAGAAACCTTCTTCTGGACAGGGTCTGATTTTGAAACTACTGCTTGGCAAGAATAAATTTCCACTGATCCTACCATCAGTTCAACCCAACAAACATCTGACCATTTCAGTAGCCTTCACAAATGTAATTCAGTGACCCTATGAGGTCATACTGCTGTCCCCATCCTATAGATGAGGAAATTGAAGCACAGAAAGGCAACTTTCTAGGAGTCACACAGCCATTGTCGATGGAGGCAGGACTAGAAATCAGTCCGCCAGCCCCAAAAGCCCAAGCTTGGACTATGGCCATCTAGTCCAGGGGGGACTCCAAGCTGAGAACTAAACATGTGAAAGATGTGGTGCATCCCAGGAAAAGCAGGTGGGGAAGTGAGCCTGAGCAAACAGTAGGTGGGAAGATGAGGCAGGAGAGGAGCTGAAGTGGTAGACAGGGATGAGACTGAGGATGACCTTGAATGATACACGTGAAGAGAATCCTAGCTGGTCTTTGAGAAGAGGAGTGGCAGGATGCGTGCTTCCAAGCTCTCTGCACCCTTGTCCTTCTCGGCCTTCCCAGCCCTGGAGCTAGCTGCCCAGCCATATGCTTCTTCCAACTTCTGCACATCTCTTTTCACATGTCCTGAATCTTGACCATAAACCACTAGACTGTGACCAGTGAACCTGCTTCTAGTCTCCAATCTGAATACCTATCCGGGTTGCACTCAGCACCTCCAGGAAAATGGGCATGAATTGCTCTCCTTCCCACGGGACTGGGGGATCCAGAGGCTGCCCAACTAGGAGAGGCCTGTGAGCTGGGGTGAGAGGAAGACAAGCAGTCTGACTTGTTCTGGTCTGAAAACACACATTCTGAAGGTCAAGTTCTGATACCCACAGCATCCTTAGATAAGTGGCTGTGGGCAATGACTTTGCAAATAAGACTTAGACACTCACTGTCCAGGAGTTCAGTGTGTGGCAGGCAGGGTCCCCACTGCCCCCACTCTCCACCCACCTGTTTGCATGTCAAGGTTCAGAGTGCTGGGCAGTGAGGAGCTCTCAGGCTCTACTTCCCAGAAAGACCCAAAGGACACTAGCCACCTCCTTTGCCCTTCCCCACCCTCAGTCTTTGGAAGGGACTTCCTATGAGGTCCTGTTTCCATCTGTTATCATCCTCCCTCCCAGACAGCTTACTGTGGTGAGTGTCTCCCACGGAAGATCAAGGGGAGTGGGAGAGAAACCACAGACCCTCTGGGAGCAAAGGTGAACCAGAGGGCTAAGGTCTGGCTTCCTCTCCTCTTACCCATCCTCAATCCTCTCCCGCTCTTTTTAGGGTCAGCCAGGCACTCGAGGTTTTCCTGGATTTCCGGTAAGTGGAGAGGGCTGAGGTTAGCTGTGTCCCCAGTGACCCCTGGGCCTGGCTGGCTTAAACCTCATGTGGGGCCAGCCCTCAAGCTGCTCTTGACCTCCCAAACCCCAGTCATTAAGGACCCTCTCCTGAAGCCATCCATGGAGAGCAACCAAGGGGACTAGCTTAGCACTTGGCTCACAGTGCAAGAAAGGACAGGGTAATGGACAAAGAAATGAAGAGGTGGCGGGGCAGGAGCAGCTGGGTGCGGTCTCAGGCTGGTTAACCCCCGCAGGATGCTGGAATGTGGAACAGCGATGCACCGCAGGGAAGCAGCCTCCAACCTGGCTTGGAGAGGAGACCTGCCCTGGAGGAGGCAGGGAGGTAGTCGTCTGTATAAACTGTGACCCCTGCCAGTGGGGCCTAAGACAGGCCTAAGAGGGAGGGCAGGGTAGCAGATAACTCCCCTTTTCTGAAGACCTCAGTGCTGGCCAGCCCTGGCTTTCTAGAAACATGTGGTCCATTCTCCACTCAGGGTAAGGAGGTCTTTGATAGCAATGGTGACTGCCACCCATCAGGTTCCCCCTCATACCGGCTGCCAGGCAGGTGGCATTTCATTCATTCTTCACAAGGACCCCTCATGGAAGATTCTGTTACCCTCATGCCCATTTTTAGGATGGGAAACTGAGGCTTGAGCTCACCCATGCTCACATAACCAATAAGTGCTCAGACAGAGCCTTGAACCCTGCCTAATGTGGAGTCCAGAACTGTGCCCCTAACCACTGCCCCATGCTGCCTCTTTGGCAGGAGACCTGGGATGCTCCGTCTTTATAGCTGGTTTCTTTCTGCTTTCAGGGTCCCATTGGGCTAGATGGCAAACCGGTGAGTGGACTCTCTCGGGCTGTGGGCTCCTCCCTGCCCCTCAGTCCAGGGCATTAACCCGGGGGGCCTACTAATCCTTCTGCAAGACCCAGACTCCTCGGAAGAAGCTTCAGATGGAGTGAACATTCCCAGAGTAGGAGGCCATTGCCAAGGGGAGGGGGAGGAGGGACCATTAGAATGAGTTGCCCCTACCTCAGTGGGCCTCCCCTGGCCACAAGTCCATGGCTGCCAAGCTGGGCTCTCAGCGTCCAGAGTAAGAACCAGTCCGAGAAGTTGGTGATTCTGGGATGGTCCCAGAAGGGGACTTGGTGGAGTGGCAAGGAGGCAGCAGGGAGAGAAGGGTGGAGAGCTTTACCCCCTAAGCCTGAGCAGCCTGGCACTGTTCACACCCTTGCTCTCCAGCACCACCAGGCACCTCCTGCATCTCCTGTTCTCCCTGGGGTCTCCCATCCCTGGTGAAGCCCAAGTCTGCATGGAGGCAGCTTCCCTATCCATAGATCCTCTCTTTGTCCATTTCAACCCTTTTAACTTAGGCCCAGGTACAAATATTCATGGGGGAAAGGAGAACCCTCCCCTCTCCTAGTGAGGAGGGAGGTGGGGGAGAGCTCAACCCCTCTGATGCCCTCACAGATGCCCCCCACATGGGCAGGCAGTGGGTCCCAAACCCAGCCCCACCTACTCACATCTCCCCTGAGCAGCAGGAGAGCAGCTCACCTCTCCCCAAGCATCCTGTCAGATGAAGGCCCCACCACCCTCCTGGGCACTCCCCTCTGCAGGCCAGAGCCAAGCCCAGCAAGGAGCTATGCGGATCATTGCCCCTCGCCTCTAAAGACCTGGCATCCCTATAAGCTGCCCAGGGTGCAAGGATGGGCTCGGGGTTGGCGTCCAGAGAGACCACCCTCCTGCCTCTGTGGCAGCTGCTAAATAGATGCAGCAAAGGGCAGAAGGCAAATAACCATGCCTGAGTCAGCAGGTCAGGGAATGGGTGGATGAGCGAGTGAGTCAGTGAAGGTGTGACAAAAGAAGGAAGTGTGCGAAATGAGCAATGGGTGACAGCAGAGGCTTGCGGGGGGAGTGGAGTGGGGTGGCCAGTGTGGAGGGCAGTGGGCGGTGGGGGCGGGGATGGTTCTAGGTTGCAAACAAGGTGTCTGGCACTCGTACTCTTCTCCTTCAGGGCCACCCTGGACCAAAAGGGGAGATGGTAAGACCCCCCACTTTTCTGCCTTTCCTCAAGGGTGGGGGGTCAGCCTGAGGGGGACAACAGAGACAATGCAAGTGGCTGCCCCCACGGGCACCCCCAGCTGTGTGCAGCCTTTACACAAACACAGGGAGGAGAAGTGGGCAGGGGGCTTCCCACCTGAAAAAGATGAAAGCGTGGTCCAGAGAGTCCACAGTTGGTCAGGGTCCCACGGAGTTAGAGGCTAGCACCCCCAAACTGCCACCAGCCTGTGCCTCAGGACCAGCCTGCCTGCGGCACTCATGTGCCAAGGGAGGGCGTCTGGCACTTCGTCCTTAGCCCGATTCCCTAGTGCGGCCCTGCTCTGGCTGCCCCAGGGCTCCTTGCCTCCTGCCCCAACTGGGCACAAAGCTGACTTGAGAAGCAGACCATGGCCCCCGCCTTCTTCCTGGCCCCTTTCAACTTCTGCAGAGCCTTTTAAAGGAATTTCCTCCCTCTACAGCTTCCCTTGTCAGGAGCCATGTACCGCAGAGGTGGGCGACCAGTTCTCAGCTGGACTGGTGGGCCATTAAGAGCAGATGGGGCAGCCCTGGGCTGGGATGCATTCCTGCCTCATTCACACCCAGCGTGGTCACATCTGCATTGTGAGGCGCATCTCCGCCTCCAGGGGCAGGCCAGGAATTTGTGCCAGGTGGTGAGAGTACCCAGGCAAGCTCCCATCTCCCAGGTATGAGGGCAGCCTCTACCCACCACGGGGGTGCTGCCAGGGTGTGGGGGCCAAAGGCCTGCCTGCTGTGGGAGGTAGATAACCTTGCATATGAAAGAGGAGATGGCAGAGTGTTGGCAGGGAGACCTGGGCTTACTGTGGGACCCTAACTTACCATGGGACCTTTAGTAACTCAGCTCCCTCTGGGTCTCGGTGTGTCTGCAAGGCTCAGACTCAGCTAATGCTTACTGAGGGTTTTCTGTGGGTGGGCACAGGGCTAAGCACTACACAGGTATTATCTCACTTTATCCTCAGCATAGCCCTGTGCTCCAGGTCCTATTAGGAATCCTTTTGATGGCTGTGAAAACTGAAGCTCAAAGAATCTAAGTAACTTTTTTGGAGTCACACAGCCAGGAAACATCCAAAACAGGATCCAAGCCCAGTTCTCCAGTTCCTTCCTTCCACATTTTATTGCCTTTCTCCCTCTCTCCCTCCTGGTGTCCCCACCTTCTTCCTTTAACAGATTTTTATTGAGCACTGGTCCCACAGGTGCTAGAGATACATACAGGAGTAAGACACTGTCTTTGCCACCCTGTAGCTCACTGCCTAGTAGGTGAGGCATTTAAAAAACCACTCACATAAGTAACAAATTGCCTCCACAATCGATGCTATGAAAAGCCAGTACCCACTGCCCTGAGAAACCCCCAGGCTAAGGGTCAGAGGGGACTTCCTGAGAAAATAATTGAACTGGAGCCTGAGGGGTGGGGATTTAATTAAAAGGGGAAGGCCAGGCACATTCTGGACATGGGAGAATAGCATGCACAAAAGGCAGAAAAGTCCTTAGATACCCACAGAACTGGAAGAAGGGCAGTGAAGCACTGGAGGCAGTGGGTGGAAGAGCTGGCATGGGAACGCAGGCCCCCCAGCCAGCTTTCCTGTCCATCACAGCCGCCTCCACTGCAGATGCATTTCTTGTTGCCCCTATCCTGTGCCTAAGCATGCTGGGCACACACATGATGTAATGGAGGCTGAGGAGCAATAAACTTCCACCCCACCATTGTTACAGCAGCGTAAGGGGGTTGGATGCTTATTCCCTCAGTCTCCCCTCCCTGCCACCCTCTTCCCCTTCCTGGTGACCTGACGCTACCATAACGTAGTCCAAGGCACCCCAGAAGTAATAATGATGGTAATAAGGATCACTGCTCTATAATCCTCAGAGTTTATTCTTCCCACTCTGCACAAGGCAAGATGGAGGCACAGGGTGGGTGAATATGTTGTCCAAGGCTACACAGCACCTAAATAACAGAGCTGGGATTGAGGCCAACGTGGTGGAATCTCACCCCTCCACTGTGCCTCCTTTCTGTGGCCAGGGCCCTTTGTCTTAAAGGAAAGGAAGCCTTCCATTGGCTCCTTTTCCTGCCGACCCTTTGCCCCACCCCAGGTCTTTCCCGTCTGTTCAGGAATCAGAGCTAACTTAGGGGGAAGAGTGGGGCCGTCCCGTCTCCCATGAGCCCATGTCAGCATGATAGATCCCCTGTCTGCCTCAAAGTAATCCATCAAAATCCCACAGGCCCCAGAGCCATTAGGCTTCTGTTTGGCTTGGCACAGGGACCCAAGCTATTAATTCAACATGCTGTCCCGCATAATCATCTTGGTCTGCTCATCACATGTCTGTCTCCCACTCACCTGCCTTCCCAGATGGCTGCCCCTCTGCTGGCTGTCCAGCACGGGGGTTGGGGTGCACCCTCACATGCTTAACCTGGGTCCCTACCTGTCAAAAGGAGGCCCCTTGTGCCCCCCCTACCTCATAGTCAGCCCAAGAACCTGATGTAAGTTGTAGACAGGATTGGGGGTCCCACAAGTGTGTAAAGGAGAACCAGGACTCTGAATTCACCTCCTATCTCACCACTCCTGTGGCTGTCCTACAGGTGGGAGGTGTTAATTTGTACCATGTGTTTATAACAGTGCCTGGCCTGCAGGACACAGGACCAGCTCGTTGCCCTGGGCCTGTTTTAAAAGGACAGCCACTGTCCTAACTGGTACCAGACTAATTGGTGCCATGTGCTGTTGGACCTTGAGATATTTAAGAGAAACTTGAATACAGGTTTTTGTTTTACTCTCCTTGCTCTGAAATGTTGGCAATTGAAATAAAACTGTGTGGGATCAATAAAATCCCTGTGGGGACCACAATATCCCACGATACGTCCCACCATTTGGAACATCTGCACTTAGTTGTCCAGGGCTCCACAGTCCCAAGCCTTTGTCTTAATTTTGTGGCCCCTGCCCTCCCCCTTGTCATCGTGTTCCTGTTTCTGTCCCAAGAGAGGGTGGCCTGGTCACCTGCAGTCTGATTCCCTGCCAAATGCATCATATTCTGCCTAAACTTACACTAAACACTAGGTCAGCCACATGGCCTGGGATGCCATATGGATTGTTCCAAAGGCCTCTTGTCCCCTTGTGTGAACCTCCTGGGAATTTCCCATTTTGGTAGTTGGTCCAGTTGGGAAGCTGGAGGCAAGAGAAGGCTCTGCCCCAACCCATGGGTCTGTCCAAGGGGTTCCTGAGTTCTTTAAGCCCCAAAGACTGTCTGGCAGGTGGGTCCTCACAGGCTCTCGGAGTGGCATCTGGAAGGGACCTCAGGGACCCAGGGCCTGGGGCACTGCCTGGGCCTCTAGCAAGTCTGGAAGCCCTGCCTCCAAGGCCTAGACCAGCTCAGAGAGTGCAGCAAAGTGACCAGGCCTTCCTGGTCAAACAGACCTGGGCTCACATCCTAGTCCAAGACTCACCGAGCTGCCAGGCTTTGTCTCCATAGGGTCAGAGGGGACTTCCTGAGAAAATAATTGAACTGGAGCCTGAGGGGTGGGGATTTAATTAAAAGGGGAAGGCCAGGCACATTCTGGACATGGGAGAATAGCATGCACAAAAGGCAGAAAAGTCCTTAGATACCCACAGAACTGGAAGAAGGGCAGTGAAGCACTGGAGGCAGTGGGTGGAAGAGCTGGCATGGGAACGCAGGCCCCCCAGCCAGCTTTCCTGTCCATCACAGCCGCCTCCACTGCAGATGCATTTCTTGTTGCCCCTATCCTGTGCCTAAGCATGCTGGGCACACACATGATGTAATGGAGGCTGAGGAGCAATAAACTTCCACCCCACCATTGTTACAGCAGCGTAAGGGGGTTGGATGCTTATTCCCTCAGTCTCCCCTCCCTGCCACCCTCTTCCCCTTCCTGGTGACCTGACGCTACCATAACGTAGTCCAAGGCACCCCAGAAGTAATAATGATGGTAATAATGATCACTGCTCTATAATCCTCAGAGTTTATTCTTCCCACTCTGCACAAGGCAAAATGGAGGCACAGGGTGGGTGAATATGTTGTCCAAGGCTACACAGCACCTAAATAACAGAGCTGGGATTGAGGCCGACGTGGTGGAATCTCACCCCTCCACTGTGCCTCCTTTCTGTGGCCAGGGCCCTTTGTCTTAAAGGAAAGGAAGCCTTCCATTGGCTCCTTTTCCTGCCGACCCTTTGCCCCACCCCAGGTCTTTCCCGTCTGTTCAGGAATCAGAGCTAACTTAGGGGGAAGAGTGGGGCCGTCCCGTCTCCCATGAGCCCATGTCAGCATGATAGATCCCCTGTCTGCCTCAAAGTAATCCATCAAAATCCCACAGGCCCCAGAGCCATTAGGCTTCTGTTTGGCTTGGCACAGGGACCCAAGCTATTAATTCAGCATGCTGTCCCGCATAATCATCTTGGTCTGCTCATCACATGTCTGTCTCCCACTCACCTGCCTTCCCAGATGGCTGCCCCTCTGCTGGCTGTCCAGCACGGGGGTTGGGGTGCACCCTCACATGCTTAACCTGGGTCCCTACCTGTCAAAAGGAGGCCCCTTGTGCCCCACCTACCTCATAGTCAGCCCAAGAACCTGATGTAAGTTGTAGACAGGATTGGGGGTCCCACAAGTGTGTAAAGGAGAACCAGGACTCTGAATTCACCTCCTATCTCACCACTCCTGTGGCTGTCCTACAGGTGGGAGGTGTTAATTTGTACCATGTGTTTATAACAGTGCCTGGCCTGCAGGACACAGGACCAGCTCGTTGCCCTGGGCCTGTTTTAAAAGGACAGCCACTGTCCTAACTGGTACCAGACTAATTGGTGCCATGTGCTGTTGGACCTTGAGATATTTAAGAGAAACTTGAATACAGGTTTTTGTTTTACTCTCCTTGCTCTGAAATGTTGGCAATTGAAATAAAACTGTGTGGGATCAATAAAATCCCTGTGGGGACCACAATATCCCACGATACGTCCCACCATTTGGAACATCTGCACTTAGTTGTCCAGGGCTCCACAGTCCCAAGCCTTTGTCTTAATTTTGTGGCCCCTGCCCTCCCCCTTGTCATCGTGTTCCTGTTTCTGTCCCAAGAGAGGGTGGCCTGGTCACCTGCAGTCTGATTCCCTGCCAAATGCATCATATTCTGCCTAAACTTACACTAAACACTAGGTCAGCCACATGGCCTGGGATGCCATATGGATTGTTCCAAAGGCCTCTTGTCCCCTTGTGTGAACCTCCTGGGAATTTCCCATTTTGGTAGTTGGTCCAGTTGGGAAGCTGGAGGCAAGAGAAGGCTCTGCCCCAACCCATGGGTCTGTCCAAGGGGTTCCTGAGTTCTTTAAGCCCCAAAGACTGTCTGGCAGGTGGGTCCTCACAGGCTCTCGGGGTGGCATCTGGAAGGGACCTCAGGGACCCAGGGCCTGGGGCACTGCCTGGACCTCTAGCAAGTCTGGAAGCCCTGCCTCCAAGGCCTAGACCAGCTCAGAGAGTGCAGCAAAGTGACCAGGCCTTCCTGGTCAAACAGACCTGGGCTCACATCCTAGTCCAAGACTCACCGAGCTGCCAGGCTTTGTCTCCATCAGCCTGGCTGAGAGGTGGAGCTGGTGAGACGTCCTCCTCACAGGTGTGAGCACATCCTGAAAGCCTGCCTCAGAGCAGGTCCCTCAACGCCAGCCGCAGGCCACACTCCTGACAGAGCCAGCTGGAGGCTGTGTTCCCCTCAGGGGTCAGGGGTCCATGCTACACAGGGTTCCTTTCTCAGCCCTGTGACCCTGACAAGACACCCTGTAAGGAAACCCAAGGCCCATATGGTCTTCTGAATCACCAACTGTGCCTTCTCTCTTTCGCCAAAGGTTTATCCGAAGTTCCCTGTCTGCAGCTCTGCCCCGGCACCCCGCCTCCAGCCCTGGGTTCCCCCGTGCCACTTTGGCTTGGTTGGTTTCACACTGAGGCCCTGGAGAGTAGAAGACAGACTGTGCCAGGGTGTCCTGGAGGCTTTCTACCTCACCTTCTTAGCGTAGGAGATGGGCGTGAGTGAGGCAGGGCACCCCACAGTGGCAGCACATTGCCTCACCTACTGGCACGGCCTCCGGCAGGCTGGCCCGTGAGACCATGGCGCATGGCGATGAAGGCAGGCTGGCATCTGTTCTTAATTACAGCCACATGCAGGGGCAGAGCACACCTCATCACACCCACTGATGGATGAGGAAGCCGAGACATGGTGTACAGGCCACACCAGCTGGAATATCTTGGGCACAGGAAGACCAGGCCATGAGGGGCAGAGCCCAGCCTGGGCTAAGCCTTCCAAAAAACACCTGGGGGGCTTAGCTTCTAGCACAGTCCCCACCCAGGCCCATGTCTCTGGTTCTGCCTGCCTTCTGTGCACCCACTGACCTCTGTGTCTTTCCTCCCACAGGGCCTGATAGGTCCTCGAGGACAGCTGGTTGGTACCTTGCCCTACTGTTCCCAGCAGAAAGGCTTCGGGCCACTGTGTCCTCAACTTCAGTTTCTAATTCTCTCATTTCCATCTTTTCATAGGGACCTCAAGGACAAAAAGGAGAAAAGGTAAGCCTGATGAAGGTTTTCTAGACTTTTCATGAGGAAACAGCCTCCCCACAGGTAGAAAGTGGTCTAGAGTGGTTTTTTCAAACTTTACCTTTCACCCCCAGAGCCAGGGGTCTCAGATGGTGCCAGGACATGAGAGAGAAAAGGGAGTTGATCTTTCTTGGGGACAGAGCGTAGCCTGGAGCCTGGCCCTTCTCAGCCTTTTTCTCTGCCTTTCCCACCTCCACCACCACGTTGTTCCCTGATCCACCTCCATGAGCCTCTAGTATTTTGAGATGTCAGTTTGTAAACCGCGGGCCTGGCCTGCATTTCTGTCTCCTTGAATTTCTGATGGAGAGTCTGCTGCGCTTGCCCTGGAGGGGGCAGCACAGGGACTTGGCCCCCCGACTCTGAGAAGGCATCTCTGATGGCCCCATTGCCCACAGCTTGCCTCCGTGCCTGCCGTTCCCATCCAGGGGCTCCTGTTCAGGCCACTGAGTACACCCTCCCAGAGAGCTGACCTTTCTGGAAGATTCCTGCAGCCAGGCATGGAGCTCAGCTCCTGACTCTGCTCTCACAGCAAGTGGTGTATGGCAGTGGGGGCCTGCCCTAGGCTCCATGGAGCCACATCCAGGCAGGCCCTAAGGGTTTCTCCCTGCTGCCAGTCAGGGGCAAGGGAGGGATTTCGTTCTCCTGCCTCAGAAAGCACAGTCCAGGACCAGAGCAGGGCTGGCAGGTGAGGCATGTGCATGATGTGTCCAGTTCTGAGGGACAGACCCCAACAAGTGCCTAACACTCTCCTCTCCTTCCCTCCCTTCCCCAGGGTCAGTGTGGAGAGTACCCACACCGGGTAAGTGAACCCCCAAATGGATCCGTCCCTGGGGCTCCAGTGTCTACAGAGCGCAGGGCACAGGAGCACTCCACCCCACTACATTTAGCAGCCAGACCAGGGTCTGGGGGGCTGGCAGTGTGTCAGGCAGCCCCGGGAGTGTGCCTGGTGGTCTGCGTGTGTGTGTGTGTGTGTGTGTGTGTCGGGTAAGTGAACCCCCAAATGGATCCGTCCCTGGGGCTCCAGTGTCTACAGAGCGCAGGGCACAGGAGCACTCCACCCCACTACATTTAGCAGCCAGACCAGGGTCTGGGGGGCTGGCAGTGTGTCAGGCAGCCCCGGGAGTGTGCCTGGTGGTCTGCGTGTGTGTGTGTGTGTGTGTGTGTGTGTGTGTGTGTGTGTGTGTGTGCAGAGCTGGTCCCCAGCACTCATGTTGGCAGTCCATGAGTATCTTGGTATATCTGCCCCGTGCCATCGCCTTCTGTGTAAAACCATGAGGCTTGTGCAAGTGTGTGTCTGACTCCTTCCCCAGTGTGTGTGTGTGACTGTGTGTACATATCTGGCTGCTGGCCCTGGCCAGCCCAGAGGGACTTTTGTATTAGTCATTGTTTCAGATGACCCAACTCTGGGTGGTGGGAGATAACTGGGGCTGACTGTATTAATTCAAGGATAAAATCTCTGCTTTGCCTTTTTAAGAACAGGGAAGTCCTCTCCAAGCAAAATGGGGGATTTCAGGGCTGGGATGGTCTCCCACTCACCCCCAGCCTCCCCAGCTCCTTTCCTTCCTTGCTCCACCCCAAAGCCTGCTGTAGTCCTTTTAAGAATCTTGAAACATATGCACAAACAGCAGGGGCCATTCATGGGACAGGGAGGGTGAAGGCAAGCACTGCTTCCTCTAGCCAGAGCCCCAGTTAGCTGGGACTTGAGAAGTGCCTCTGGTTTTGCAGCTTGGCCTTGCTGCTTTCAGACCTGGGCAATCAGGGCAGGGAGATCAGGCATCTTTAGATGTCCAACCCTCTGTTGTGGGCCTCATTTTGCCCAGAAACACATGCACAGTGAGGTTCCCCTGGCTGCCCACCATGCCAGGCAAGAGGACTGAGGAAGTAGAGACAGCACAGGTCAGGCTGAGTCCACCTGGCTCCAGAAGACCACTGGGAGGGCCTTGCTAGCAGGGTCCAGCCACTTAGACCCTTACCCCTGAGTTCCTGTGCCAGGAGAGGTTGAGGAGCCCTTGAACATGAGCAGTTGGGATAGGGTTGAGGCCAAGGCTGGGCCTGGGCAGAGGGTGCAGGCTGGCAGCAGTGCAGAGCCAGCCTATCAGTGGGATGTGCCCTAGAGACACAGGGGCCCTGGTGCTCCAGTCAGCCTGATCCTGATACAATAATAGAAGGTCAGCTGTGTTTATTTGAAATGGTGGGCTCACAGGATTGTTATATTACCCGAAAAAAGACAGTGTCCCCGAGCACAACTGATGACATAACTGCAGACCCCTTGGCCGTATGTCATCGGTCCTGAGCAAACACTCACAGGGGGAGGGGGAGGAGAGCACTCTGCCCCTCAGCCCAACACAAGAGGAGAGGAAGGGTAGGGACAGAAGGCTCTGGAAGCACCATGTTAGACTGCAGCAGTGTGGGGCATGAGTTAGGCAAGAGTGAGAGCAGATTTGGGGATGCAGCTGGTGGACAGGGCAAGGCAGCTGGCACCCCCTTGTTTATCTGGAAGTGAGTAGAAAAGCAGGGGCTTCTAAGACAGCAGTCTGGTGGCTTTCTGAGAGGTCTGCGGGCATGGTGGGGGTGGCAGGCCTCCAGGCCTGCAAGATACCAGGAGATCCAGGCTGCTCCCTGCCTCTGTTCTGGACTGCAGCTTCCCCAGGAAGGGAGGCAGAGGAGGGGCAGTGGTGGGATGGAGTGCCCTGGGATGGGAGCAGGGCTGCTGGGCCCTGGGCTCTGGCACTCACTCTCCCCCTATCACCCTCTCTATGCCCCCCACCCCAACATCAGGAGCACCTAAGCAGCACTCTAGCAGCCCTGCGCTCCAACCAAATAACCCTGAAGGTTTGTAGGTTCTGGAAGTTCTTCAGGCCTCTGTCTGCCAAGCGGCTCCCTGGACACAGAGCCCAACATTGCACATTCCCAGGCCCCATGGTGATAAGTGGGGAGCTCTGGGTGTAGCAGCTGGCTGTGAAGGTAGCAATGACCTGGCTCCCAAGTCCTCAGCTGGGCACATTCTCAGCCCTGGTCACCCCTGGCTCTTAAACTTATCCCAGGGGACTCATGTAAATTAGAACACTTTCAGAAACGAGGTTGATTATATGCCATCCTTGTTTTCGCATTGGTTCTAATTGCTCCTTAAAGCCATGGGCTGCTCAGCTTCAGTGGGTAGAGAGACTAGAAGCAGTAAGAATTTCCAGAAATAAAAATCACATTGGATAATATTGCAAGTTGCCTCCTCCAAAACGGTGGTTGAACATGCTGGAGACATCCTAGTGCAGCCTCTATTTTCCAAGACCACTAGCCCCAGGGTGAGACTTCAGTAGGACTTAGCTTGTGCCAGACTTGGCCACACCTCGGCCAGCTCAGCCCCCTGGGAACCCAACCTGGCACTTGAACATCCTCCTAGATTAGCTGACATCAGCCTTTCTTGTTCAACCAAGAAAAGAACCCAGTGGCCACCACACACCAGCCAGGCTACAAGTACCCATTTGGCTGGTCCCATGGCTCCCTAGCCAGAGCCTCTGAGTCAGCTGCCCTCAGCCCAGCAGCCTGTCCACCACCAGGATGGGTGGGGCTGGCAGTGCAATGTTGGGCCGCGTGTCAGGCAGCCTCTGCAGCTCAGCACAGCCATGGAGGGCAGGCCATGCCAAGAAGGGCCACTCTCCCAGTTGGGGGGTGCTGTTGGCCAACACCCCACTGGGGACGGTGTGCCATCCAAGGGCAAGCTCGGCTCTCTGCCCCACTAGCCACAAGAGTGCCGCGTCCACGCCTTCCCTCCCTATGCCTCATGCTCACTAATTTCTCTTCTCTCTTCCTCTCCGCCCTCCCTCTTGGCTGCCCTGCCTTCCTGGTGACTTTTGGCATCCTTCTGAACACCTGCGATCTTTGGCCTTTGCCCTCTGGCCTTTCAACTCATCTTTCTCCTCAGCTGCTGCCTCTCCTCAATTCAGTGCGACTGGCTCCACCCCCAGTCATAAAAAGGCGGACCTTCCAGGTAGACACCTTCCCTTTGCCCAGACCACACATGGCTTCCTGCCCCAGGGGCTCAGCATTGGGCTATAGACAAAGCCAGAACCTCACTCTGCTTCAGTGAAATTAAATTAGACAAAAACAGACCCATGAAGGCTGCAGATGTGGAAATAACACAACACTAGGCCTAGGAGACCCACAACAACTGCCACATGTTATAACAGCCACCAACAGCCATCACTGTGTGCCAGCTACTGTGCCACTCATTTTACAGGCCTGATTTCATTTAATTTTTTCAACAGTTTTATGAATTAGGCATGATCATCCTTATTTCACAGATGAGGAAATCAAGGTTCAAAGATGTTAAGAAAGTTGCCCAAGGTCACACAGCTGGTAAGTTACAGAGCGCCCAGATTCTCTGCCTCTTACCGGTGTGATTTGGGGCAAGTTACTTAATCTGTCTGCACCTCAGCTTCCTCGTTTGTCAAATGAGAACAATAACAGTTCCTCCTGCATAGGGTTCATATGCACAGAGAGCCCTTGGAAAAGTGCCTGGCACAGTTTAAGTTATAATTAAATGGAGGCTTGTAGAGGTAAGTTTGTGCCCAGTCATGCAAACAGCAAGAGGCAGAATGGGGCCTGGCAGGCAGGCCTTCAAACCCCACAGCCGGGGCTCTCTCAGATGGACCTATACCCTTTATATTTAGAAATGCAGATTGCTTAGCATCTGGTCACAAGTAACCTGAGTTTGAGGAGCAAGGGAATTTGCGAGGGAATGTAACCCACAGCCAGGAAGTGTAATCTTCATGAGCAACTGCTTCCAATCCTGCCTTACTAACCAAGGAAGCTGGGGTACCAGATCACAGAGAACAAAGGACAAGAGACCACAGACCCAGGGATCCAGGAACAGGCATCACAGCTTGATTCCAGGCCACGTAGCCCATGGTTGCCACCCCTGTCCCTAGCCCCCTTATACTCTGCAGGGATTACCCCCTAGGTCATAGGAATGCTGGAAGTGGCAGGGCCCTGAGGTGCTGTCTGAAAGCCTGAAATGGGGCCTGAAGCCCCCATCTGGCCTGACTCAGGGGTCCAGAGCCCAGGAGCCTGCATATTCAGGCACTTGACTGAACAAGGCTGAAAAATCTCTCCAATGAACAGCTAAAAATACAAAGGGACATGTAGTGCGTGTGCTGTCCGAGCCTGCATATCCCATTACCCCACCAGATCCCCAAGAGCCTCCATGTGCTCTGAGCGCCCATCCCCAGCATGGACAGTCAGGGGGCCTGCCAACGGCTCAGAGAACCACAGGGCCCACCCCTACCTGTGTCAGACCCCAGTCCAGGAGGGCCGAGTCCTTGCTCTCAGCGTGGCCATTCACCTCAGCCCCCAACAGCCATGCCTGGCTTTGTTGCACTAGCTGCTATTTGTTGAGCCCTCTCTGGGTTCCAGGCACTGTTGTAAGAATTCTACATGGATTATCTCATGTAATCCCACACAGCCACCTGGCAGTGAGGTGCCATTATCATCCTCACCTTACAGATGAAGAAACTGAGAGGGGCCCAGGATTCAATCCAGGCCACTACAGGTTACTGCCTCCCTTTTTAAAAGCAAGGGGTGGGTGAGCCAGACTTTCTGTGCTGCCCTAACCTGGTTTCCAAAGTAGAGAGAGAAGAGCAGGGGCCCCTTTTCTGCCACAGCAGATCCCACCTACAGAACAAGATTTTTATGCTGTTGGCCATCATGGGGCATAAAAAAGCTTATCCATTTCCTATCAATAAGCCAATATTGATTTTACAGCCTCTGTAAGATGCTTAAACACTGGGTGAAAGAGGAAACTTTATACGAGTTGTGATGTGCTTAGCAGATGGTGTTGGAGGTCATTTCCAGAGTGCATGTCCAAAGTTGGACAGTGAGCAGCTTTTGCTGGGGACTTATTTGGAATGAATAACAATAGTCTGGAATTCCAAGTATGGGTCCTGGCTTTTTCTGAGCTCTCCATGTAACCGCAGTCAGGGAGCTCAAATTCTCTGAGCCTCAGCTTTCTCTTCTGTAAAATGGGACTTAGTGTACTTGCTTCTGTACCTTCATGGACACACTGAGCCCTCAAGAGGCTTCTCAGAGGGTGTGGCAGGTTGAAGCCCAGGTCCCAGAGTGACACTGCTGGGTGCCATCTACCCTAGGATGTCCCAGCTAAGAGATGATTCAAGCAGGTACTACTAAACCATGCAGTTTTCATTTGAGGTTATGCACTATTCATAATCATTTTCCTCTATAGAATCTGCAGCAAGCATCAACAGCTCCCTTTTTCATACAGAGTGTCATAGAGGATTGCTGAGATGGCTCTGAGAAGGCTAGGCTGGCCTGGACCTTCAGCCACCTACGTCCCCCTGCCTCCCAGCCCGGAGCTCTCGCCCTTCTGGGCTGTCCTGCTTCAACCTGTCAGCAGAGATGGGGAGGGGAGGGACTGAGGCAACCACAGGACTCTTGCCCCACTGGAAGGGGGCGACCCCTCCCAGGCCCAAGTGATGATTGCCCCCAAGGAATGTGGGCCTAGCTTTCCAGGACTCCCAGTTTTTCATCAGAAGCCACTAGCCCACAGTTTTTGCACTAAAATCTCTTGCCTAATTATTTAGTAAGCCAAACGAATTTCTGTGACCCCTGACCTAAGGCTCCTATTTGATCCTCTGGACCAGATAGTCAAGACAGCAAAAGCTGCAGCAGGAAACAAGGAAGCGCTGTTCTCAGCTGATGGCTGAGAGGTCAGACCTAGATGGAGGATGAAACTCACTGCTCGGAAGGGCGGGACCAAGGCACGCCCAGGCCGAGGTCCATGGGCGCTGCACTCTGGCAGCGTGAGCAGGCTGGAAGCAGGCCTCCCGTGGGGCCGGGGGTCATCTCACTCACTCCTCTGCCTCTGCAGCAGGGCTCTTCCCTTGGGGACCACCTGCTCAGGCAGCAAGTCCTCCCTGGAAGCATCCCCTCTTGGGGGCCTAATGTATTGGCCGTCTCCTCGCTGTCACCAGTCCCTGCATGTAGTCACCACCACAGCATCATCACCATCACACCACCACTGCCTGCCCCCAGAGCCCACAGTGGGGCCTTCACCGGGTGCATGGCACTGGGGTGGGAACCGCTCTGTGGCCCTGAGGGGCTCTAACACTTGTTCCCATGAACCTCAGGGTGAACAGGGCCAAGCTGGCATCCAAGGCCCACCAGGGCCACCAGGCCCCCCTGGACCAAGTGGACCTCTGGGACACCCAGGACTGCCAGGGCCCATGGGGCCACCTGTAAGTGTCCCCTTCTTCTCCCCACTGCCTCCTCTCCTTCAAGATGTGTCCCAAGAATTCTCTGTAAGCACCCAAACCTTCATAACCAGTGGAAGCCTGGGTCCCCACCAAATGGCAGAAACACCGTAACAAGGCCATTGGACATGGTGACCCATGCAAGGAGCTGCCCGTCCCCATCACTCGTCTGGTGTGCTCTGGTTCTGAAAATGCTCCTCCTGGGGCCATGCCTCAACTCTACTCATTGTCTTCCAGAGAGGAAACCACTAACCAGCTGTCTTTTTCCCAGCCTCAGGAGAGAGGAGCTTGCCAAGAAAATTCCCAGGGCCACCTCTGATGGCTGTCCCCTTACCCCTGGGCTTAGGAAAACCTGAGCTGGGGGCAATATTCTGAAGAGGTGGCAAAGGGGTGTCTGGCCACGGGCACCCCTAATGAGTGTGCCTCTGCTGGTGTGAATGGGTTTCACATGCCTGTACCACCTTCCAGCCAACCTGCATGCTTGGTCGGCCAGGGGGACCCAGCATCAAGCCTGATGCTGAGAGGGGCCAGGGGGGCCAGCAGGCACCCCTTTCTGGGTAGAACCACACATGGACAACAGGTTAAGCCTCATGTCCCCCATGCCACCCATTTCCAAGCCCTTGCCAAGACCTCACTCTCTTGGCCCAATTCAGTGCAAGAAAAGCAGGGGTGTAACTCAGCAGGCATGACCTCTTTAGAGAAAATTATCCTCCACCCAGAGCTCATATTAATGTCATATTTAATGGAGACACAGGAGTTAAGGATGAAGTCTATTTAATAATGTTTTTTTTCCAAGTGACTACAAAACAAAACATAAAATTATTTTTCTTTTCTTATGACAAAAACATCACACATTCATTGTGAAAATTTGCAACACAGGCAATAAAAAAGTTTTAAACATTTTCTTATATCTGGAGTTCACCATCATTAACATTTTGGAGAATCCTTCCATTTTTCTCCTTAGACATATCTACACAGAAGCCCTTTACAGGTTGGTAATGTTCTGAATAACATACCAGTTTGTATGCTATTCGGTCTGGTCTGTCCTTTAACATCATAAACTATGACCTTTCCTACATCAGGAATCTCCCATGATATGAATTTTAGGGCTGCTGGGCCTATTTGCAAGGTAGTTAATGAGTCCTCTTCTATAATATATATCCGCAAACATGAATGTTTGTGCACATGTCTGATTCTTTTGCTGCAATGGTTTCCCAGAGGTAGAATTGCTAGGTCAGTGCTGTCCCTGCAAACAGCCCTTGATGAATACAGCCACATTCCAGGTCACTTGGCTTCACATCTGGGTCCCTCAGCTGTCCCATCTGCCTGAGGCTCAGGAGAGGGTCCCTCCAGGCTGGGCCACAGCGGCAGCCCACCAGGGTGCCCAGCTTGGCTGGAAGGAGGCACAGCAGTTTGAAAACCTAACTTGCCAGCTCTCCTGCTCAGCTTGACCCTCCACAAAGGATTTTAAATATTTCTGTGATTTTGCCCTGAAAATGGTGATTTGGGCCAAGGGAGGAAGATTTGTATTACTTCCATGGGTTTCTAGAAGGAAAAACCTGAAAGAAAGCGAAATTTAGGGAATTGAACCCAGCCAACAAATGAGTACTAAGAATCCACTTCTTTGCTGACCCCTCCCCCAAATGCACTGGGCTCCCACTCACTGAATCCAAGCCTGTTGGTTTTCTTTGTTAGGTTGTTTACAACAAAAAAAAGACAGGAAGTGTGTTTTTAAACCAAATGAAACAGAACAGACTCGGGCATCATGGTTTTCTCCAGCGTATGTTTGTGGTCCGGCCCTATGCCCAAGACTACAGTGAAGCCAGCCTTCCCTTGCGTCTCCCTCCAGCTCCCACAGGCCCTGGGCCCACACCATCTCCCAGAGGCTAGCTGCCCAGTGGTCCAGCACATGGGTGGAAGGAGACGGAGGGCTCTCCCACAGCCTGGCAGGGCCAAAGGCAAAAATCAAGGCTCAGATGGGCAAGGTTGGCTTTCCAGGGAGGGGTCCCAGTTAGGAGGTGGGTGGGTGGGGATCAGAACCAAACCACACTGTCAATTTAACATGATGCCACTGACTTATTTTCCAGTGGGCAAGCACAGCGGATATGCCTGCAATGTCCATAGGGCTCCAAAGAGGGACGCGGGCCTGTTGTCCCCGTGTGCCCTCAGCAGGTTTACCCCTCCAGGATCCTCTAGATCTTTGCTCTAGCACACCTAGAACTCATTGTAGGTGTTTGAGCACTACTCTACCTCCAGCCTCCACCATACACATGACTAAATTCAACTGTCTGCCAGTGGAATCTGTCTCCACTCACCTTTCTCTTGCTTCCACAGGGCTTACCTGGGCCTCCTGGACCAAAGGTGAGAGCCCCTCTGGATGATGCAGGGGTGGGAGGGTGCCCTGCAAGAGGGCAGGGAGACAGCACCACAGATTACTGAGTGAGGGGCTGCAAAGGACCTCAGCTGAGAGATGGATCACACTTGGCTCACTTCCAAAATGCCACCCTCCTCTTGGGAATTGATTGGGTCTCACAAGGACTGCATCTCATGTGCTCAGGCGGAGAAAGTGCTGTGGCTGGTATGGAAGGAGCAGTCCCGCTCTCCAAAGAGCTTACAGCCTAACTGGAAAGTCAAGGTTGATGCCCAAAACACTGCCATACAACTCAAAAAAAGAGGGTTTCATAAGGGGTCAGAACTGGAAAGGACCTTTGGGGTCATCCAGTCTTGAAAAACCTCATCTGGAAGCCCACATGTCAAACAGACTCTCCCTTTGAAGCTGGGGGCCCTGGGTCCCGGGGGTAGACAGTTGCAAAGCACTGACTCTGCCTGACCCTGCAGCTGAGAGCCCCGGAGAAAGTGACGGATCCAGGTTCGACAGAGAGTCAGTAGTCAAGGCAAAACTGAAACTCAGCTTAACCAAGTTGACCCTTTGCACCACCTCTTGGCCTCTACAAGGCAGGCCCTTGTTCTGAAGAGTAGAACAGTGTCTGTTGGCTTCAGAGGAAGCAAAGCTATTGTTCCAGGGTGGCTGGAGGGGGAGGTCAGGAGGACTTGGAGTCATTGGGAGGAAGAGGGACAGTAATGTGTGAGAGGAACGACACAAGCCAAAGGTTGGCATTGAGAAACCCCCACTAACTGTCTTCTCTTTGTTCTCCCAGGGAGACCCTGGGATTCAGGGCTACCATGGACGAAAGGTGAGAAGGAGGGGTGGGGGAGGACCTTAACCATAACCAGGTGTTAGGACTTGTTTGTGCACATGTATTTCTGCACACACGCTCACCCAGCATGAGCCTTGTGATGCTTGTGAAGTAAGCTGGATGGGGGTTCATGTCTCCACGCAGAAAGGAACAGGCTCAGAGGGGCTCACCTCAGACCCAGGAAGGTCTCCTACTAGCAACCTGTGTGGCTTGTCTGTACCAAGGCATGCCAGGTTCTCCTGAGGGCCTGGTAAGTGGGAGCCAGATTACTGGGTAGGTCTCCCAGATTGCTAGATTACCCTAGGTAGGGCTCCATGCCGAGCTTTGGGTTGGGGGTAGGGCCCCAGCCCTGCTCTCTGGAGGCTCACAGACCAAAGAGACGGAGGGATTCCTACACAACTAACCCTGGGGAAGGCAGACCATGCTAACCACTACCATTGCAAAGCCCCAGGGGGGAGCAGTGGTGCAGAGAAATTAATTCCAGGTTGAGGAAGTCTTTTGGGAGAAGACAGCCCTGAGCTCAATCCTGGTGAATGGGTAGGTGTATCGGTTATCTGTAGTTGTGTAACAAATCATCCCAAATTTACTGGCTTAAAGCAATGATTTATTTCTTTTGATTCTGTGGACTGGTCATCTGGGAATCATGTTGGTCTCCTCTGGGCTCACTCATGCAGTCATATTAGGTGATGGATGGAAAGGCTGGAGGGGTCGAGACAGCCTCATCCACATGTCTGGCGGTTGGTACTGCCTGTGGGCTGGGTGCCTGTGTTCTCCTGCAAGTGGTCCCTCAGCCCCCAATCGGCTATAAACAGGTTTCCTTATGGCATGGCAGGCCCAGGGCAGTATGCAAAATGGCTAAGCCCCAGAGCACAAGTGCTTTTCCCAAGTGTTCACATGCATCACATTTTATAATGCCTTATTTGTCAAAGCATTAGGCAAGTCATGCAAGTCAGTAGGGTGAGGGGAGGGGACTCCGCCTATACTTTATCTTTACCTTGCAGGAGTAGCAAAGCATTTGCAGTCATTTTTAATCCACCACTGTGGTCCTTCAACCAGCAAATGTGAAGGGACATGGCATTTTAGACAGGGAAACAATTTGAGCAAAGGCCCAGAAGTAGTCATTATAATAACTATAACAAAATTAAAATACTTTTAATGATAGTCACCCTTTACTGAATGCCTACCATGTGCCAGGCTGTTCTTCAAGGTGACCTGCACTAATCCTAAAACCACCCTATGAGGTTGGTGCTAGTCTCCTCCTGTTTAACAAATGAGGAAACTGAAGTTTATCCAAAGTCTCATGGCCTCTAAGTGGCAGAGGAGAAGTTCATGTCCAAGTCTCAGTTTTTCCCATGGCACCACCTGCTGCAAGGAACCCATCCCACCCTCCAGACCCTGACCAGGAAGCCTCTGGAAACTTCCAGGAGAAGAAAAGAGGCAGGAAGAAAGGGAGGAAAAGGAGGGGGAGGGATTTTGGAAAGGGAAGAATCATTCCAGAGAAGCACATTCCTGGATCTCTGTAATCCAGCAGCTGCCATCATCGCATTGTTTTATGGGTGCTTGGTGGGTGAAATGGCAAGACCTGAGAGATCTTTAATTAGTTCTGCATAAACTGAAAAGTTTGTATGGTGTCAGGAAGTGGAAATTATAGCCCCCGCGGTTGCCTCCATCCACTCACACACACTCACAGAATTTACTGCCTCCTGGTGCAGCACAGGGTCGGTTTTCCCATTAGCAGCCTGATCAACTCTTTCAAGCGGTGAAGGGGTTGTAGGGCCAGCAGAGGTTCCCCCCTGGGTCGTAGCAATGCCCATGGCTGGCATCTGTACTACGGTGAGCATCTGCATTCACCTGCCAACTGGAAGTCTGGTTCATCCAGAAAGTAGCTTGGGAGCCATTGTCCTAGAGATGGAGAGGCCTCAGCTTAGGGCCAGGGTGTCATGAAGACAGGGGGCCTGGTCCATGAGTGTGGCAATCCTGGGCTCAGATGTGGAGGGAATTCTGGGAGGCCTGCTCTGGGGAGAGAAGGCTCTAGCTTGGAAGGGGAACATACATTTTTGCATGACTATGGGTAGAGCAAGTGCTTATGGGGGCATCTACAGGAGGTGCTGTTTCTGCTCAGTAAGAGGGAACTTCCTAAGAGTCACAGGTGCCTGAGGATCTCCAGAATCCTCCTGGTCTCCAGAAGCATTCAGGTAGAGGAGGGAGAACGATGGGGCTGGTGTGTGTTAGGAGGACCTCCCAGCAGATAGGAGGCTGGATTAAAATGCCTTCTAGCTCAGGGGAGCCACAGTTGCCTGGGGACAGAGTTGGCTCCATACCCCCTAGAGAGGAGCAGCCTCCAGCTTTGTAAGTGTCCTCCTTCTTCATCCCGTGTCCTCCTTCATCCACCTCAGGGCTTGTCAGAGGCACCACTACTCAGAGCTCACAGGGAACCGAAAAGGTTCTTCTGCATGCTGGGCTCTAGCTCCCACCTTCCTTCCTCTGCCAGACCGCCCCCTCTGCCCTGCCCCAGCTGCCTCTCCTCATGGAGCCTGAAGGGTCACCAGGCTGCTGGCTCCCCCTCACTGCCTCTCTGGGTTTCTGGAAGGCACCTGCTGCCTCCACTTCCTCCAGACTGGCGTTGAGTCTCTTCAGCAGGTGCTCCTGGAGCCCCCAGGTGGCCTCAGGACATTGTCTCTGTGCTGGCCCTCACTCTGCTGGGACCCTTGTCCTGTCAGTGCCTCAGCCATAGCCTCCTAGTCCAACAGAGGCCAAAGGGTGGGACTGGAGATTAATGACCAGCAGCAAAGTGTTCCCCCTCAAGGACCTAGTGTCATTCCTCAGGGTCAAGCAACTCTCAAAGGGCTGCAAGCCCCTGTCCCATTGCCCCCGTTCCATTTGACCCCATGATCGCCATGCCCAGGCAGAAGTTTGCTTCCCCTCAGAACTCTGAGCTAAAGAGGCCATACCCAAGGACGCACACAATACTTCCCACCTCCAGTTCAGCCAGAGTTCATTCACTCCCAATCTTATTCAGTCTTTATCATGGTCCAGTAGAGCTCATTATCCCCCCTGTACAGATGAGAAGCTCAGAGAGGTTAATACTTTGCCCAAGGTTGCACAGCTGGTGAATGATCATGATGGAAATGGAAGCCAAGGCTCAGGGGTCTAAGCCCAGAGGCCAGTCTTCTCACTCTGGTGCAGAAGTGAATGTCTGCTCAGGGGGTCTCACCCAGGCTAAGCTAACTGTGTACAAGTTGCCTCCCATGTGGTTGCCCTGGAATGTAGAGGGGCTTCCCCCAGGCTCCCTTCTCCTGGCCATCAGTTCTGTTTCTCTCTCCTCCCCTCTCTACTCTCTGCTTGGAATAAGGCATCGCGAGGGGACACTGACACCAAGGGCAACTTGATCACGGATGCTGGGAGGAAATGCACTTGCTCCCACCCCACCACCCTGGGGAGGAGCGCCGAGCTGGGACAGAGGCCATGGCACTGACCCATGTGTTTAGGGTGAAGGGGGCCTCATAGGGTAACCAGCAGACCCTCCACATCTGCTTCAATTGCTGTCCCAGAAATTAACACACATGCAGCAAGGCCTTTCTTTCAGCACAGGGTGGAATTTAACTCTCAGCAAAGACGTTTCTCATCCTATATAGTTTGCTAATGATTAGTTCCATCCACCACCATCCCCCATCCCAGGCAGCTGGACCTGGCCTGGCATCCTCTCAAGGCCAGCCAGGCCAGCAGGGCAGGCTTCTCTGCCAGCTCCTTAGCCAGTGTGGCCAGCGGGCCCTGTACTGCCCCAGCCCTGCTGGGGCCAGCCCTACTGCCTAGACACTGCAGGATTATTGTGCACCCATGTGGTATCTATTTGATCCAAATTTATGATACCAATCTACTTTAAATACGTTGTAAGACAAAAAATGTTTTTAAAATATTACAACCTTGGCTCTCTTTCAAGAGAATTGATGAGTATTGTCAGACTTTATGTGGATCACAAAACCCAGTAAAAGCTTATCTCTAAGCACATCGAAGCTGGTCCACCTGCCTCTGCAGTGGGGAGCGGTGTGTTTGATGCGTGTGGTGGTCTGGGTGGTAAGCCTCAGGGTTTGCAAGAAGGACCATTGTGGAGCACACATTCCCCTCCTGCAGGCTGTGAGCTGTGAGCTTTCAGACCAGGGGAGGCAGGATTTGAGAGCCTCGTCTAGAGCAGCTTGTAATTGAGTTACTTGTCCTGGAGGCTGCAGGGCTTCCCAGAAGCAGGGACTCTCAGAGGAGGAGATCCCTTAGGCTCCATGGTCCAATGGCTAGGGCACTAGGGTGAGGGGGTGAGGAAGAGCAGCTCACCTACCCGGCCCATCTCAGCTGTCTTCCTCTGGAATGCCAAACCTCATCACCCCTCCTCACCCCTCCTCAATCCTTCTACAAAAGGGCATGATCATTCTGACTTTCCGCTCAGGGCAGGGGGCCATGTGAGTGGGATGATAATATTATATCTACCTTACCGGGTCTCTTCAACACGCCAGGCTGTGCACAAGGATCTTTATGTGCATCATCTTGTTAGATCCTTATAACAACCCTATGAGGTAGGTTTTATTCTTATCCCCAACTTGCAGATGAGCAATCTGAGGTTCATAGGTGAGTCCCCAAATGTCCACAGCCAGGAAGCAGTGAAGCCAGGCCTGCCTGACCCTAGAGCCTTGCTCTGGAAGATTTTACTACCTGGGTCTTATGAGTCCCAGGGGACCCCATGATTTCTGATAAGGCCCCCTTCTTTCCTAGAAGGAAAGGAGATAGGAGTTGGTCTCTTCTCCCTGTGAGAAAAGGCTGTGGCTCATTCAGCCTTTCTCTGAGCCTCCTGGGCTCTCTGCAAGCCAAACTAGGGGTCCTCGGCATGTTTCAGAGAGCCCAGGAAGTGGAAGGCTTTGCCTAGGGAGTTGGCAATAAAGCCAGAAGAAGGCTTGTCTCAGCAACTCCCCACCTGCTATTCCTAAGACACCGTGTACCCCTCTGGCTCC